TCTCTCTCCCTCCCTCCCTCCTTTATTTTCTTCTCCCTTCCCTGAACCATTTGATCCATCTGTCTGGTTTTGTATCATATATATTCTATTACCTTTTTCCTCTCACGGTTCCCTTTCTAGTTTCATGACAAATAGCCCCACACCTATGTACACATTCAAAGCTGGTTCTATATAGGAGAGAGAACATGCAGTGTGTGTCTTTATGAACCCCAGGAAAAGAAGCCTGGCCCCATTAGCAGTGACTCATTCCACACACTTCCCTTCTCCAGGCACTCTAGCCACTGGTTTACCCAGCCTCCCCAGACACGTGTGTTGTGACCGTTCCACACAGATGTCACTGCAGTGGCTTAAGTAAGAACGGCCCCCATAGGCTCATATTTGAATGCTTAGTTACCAGGGAGTGACACTGTTTGAGACGGATTAGGAGGTGTGGCCTTGTTGGGGGAAGTGTGTCATGGGGGTGGCCTTTGAGGTTTCAAAAGCCCATGCCATGCCCCCCACCCCTGTGTGTGTGTCTGCTGCCTATGGATCAAAATGTAGAACTTTCAGCAAGATCCAGCACCTCGCCTTCCTTCATGCCACTGTAACCCCCGTCATGATGATAATGGAGTGAGCCTCTGAGACCGTTAGCAAGCCCCAATCTGAATGTCTTCCTCTGTAAGAGTTGCTGTGGTCACGGTGTCTTTCTCACAGCGATAGAGCACTGACTGAGACTGTCGTCTGTAACATTCTCTCTGCTCTAGTTGTTGTCTTTGCTTCCATAATGTCTCAAAGGTCCCTGCGGGTAGTGGCAGCATCCATCAGAACAACAGCCCTTTGTAGTGTTGGGGAGCATACTGTGTGTGCCCTCCATCAGCCAGTGACTATTTGTGCATGCATGTTTGTGCAGATACATTTTCATTTTTCTGGATATTTGCTTGGAATGGAATTGTTGGGTTATCTGATAACTTGCTGGTTAATTTTACATGTTTATAGAGAAATTTTACATTATTCTCTATTATTTTTATCTTTAGACAGTATATTTCATAGATGTTAATATATTTTTTCTCAATAAAAATTTTTATTGGAGCTTAAAAAACATTTCATTCATTCATCCCGTTTCTTATGGCAAAAATCCATTAATTAGCCCTCAGGAATGGTCCAGACAGCATCTGGGGCTCCGTTGTCCTTGTTTTTAAGTTTAGAAGTGATGACTTTGGTCTTCTGACCATCTGGAGTTGATGAGCTGGGCAGTACAGTCTTGGCGCAGGCTAGGAGCAGTAGTCAAGAGAGATTTCCAGAAGGGGCGGGTTGACAGTTGCCCTTTCTTGTCTTATAGAGGGGCTCCTCGCAAGACAATGGAGAGACCGCGAAAGGGGAAGGTACTCATTAGTAAAATACCATTTTGCTCATTATAGCTTTAATGCTGCCGGGTTCACCTCGGGGGCAGCCTGGGAAACCTGCCTGTCTCCTGATCTTTCCGAGGCTTACAGGTTTCAGATTTACCTTATTCCTGTCACCCTCTTGAGTCACCTGCTCTTGAAAGAGAGCAGCACACTAGGACTGCACAGCGGGAAGAAGCGCTGTGCTTGACCACAGCGCTTCCCAGTTTTCAGAAATAACTGTGAAGTCAATTTAAAAATGTCAGTGGCTTTAGCTTAGCAGCAGACAACGCAGGGAATGTGCCAAAGCCCTGGGCCTCTTGCCTCTCACCGCAGACTCGGGGTTTGACTCCGAGGAAACTGGTGCATAAGATTAGATGGTCGTTCAGGCTAAGAGGAAGCCCCGACTCCGGGCGTGTGGGCTCTCCACGTTTTCCATTCTGGGCCAGGGAAGATCGATGACTCTCAGGTGGGAGAAAGGGTCATAGGTGCCACTTCGGCCACTCAGCTGTAATTCTAACGGGAGCTTTAACACTTCCCCCGGGCTCCAGCCTGGTCTCTGCTAGACTGCCCACCGTTTCCTCTGCAGGTCCCATACTGCTCACCTCTATGGTAAGAACGGGAACTATGTCGATATCACACATTGTTGTGAGACTTGAAGACTGGTGTGATTGGCATCACGCCTGGATAATAGAACTGCCCATCGTCACCTCTGTGGAGAGCGGGCTAGGTGTGCAGGTCCCTGCCGGCGCAGCCCTCCAGCTGGGCTAGGTGTGCAGGTCCCTGCCGGCGTAGCCCTCCAGCTGGGCTCCAGGCTCACGTTTTTACATTTGGGACCCTGCATCTGAGGGTGACTTGGAGTGGAGCACAGAAGCAAACACGTGACCTTCCCATAGCTACTGAAGAAATGTGGGTGGATTCTTACTTAACTCCATACTCACAAAACCAAAGAACAATTAGAAAGAATGGCTGGCTGGAAATCAGATCTCATTTGTCAATACAATGGGAGTGAATTGTTTCATAATTAAGAAATAAAATCCATTTTATTTTTCAAATTGATATTTGGGAAATAAGAATCGTCCAGGTAATGTACCAGACGCCCTAAAACAGAAAGGTTTGTGCTTACAGCTAATGTTAGACCAACTAGATGATGTGAGCGTAAAGACAGCTCAGGCTAGCGCCGTGTGTCATTGCCATCCAGTACACAATGAAATCCATCTTTTTTTTTTTTGGTTTTTCGAGACAGGGTTTCTCCGTGGTTTTGGAGCCTGTCCTGGAACTAGCTCTTGTAGACCAGGCTGGTCTCGAACTCACAGAGATCCGCCTGCCTCTGCCTCCCGAGTGCTGGGATTAAAGGCGTGCGCCACACCGCCCGGCCCACAATGAAATCCAGAGGCCAGAGATTATTTCTAGAGTTTAAAGTCTCGGTTTTTATTACATGTGGTAGGAATGTTTGACACGAGCTCCAGCAGCATTGGGTGTGCAGCGCTGGGTTGTTGGTGTAGGTGCCCCGTTGCACAGTGCCAGTGACAAATTAGTACCCGCTGAGCAGCAGCTCCCCGTCCCTCCCACTAGCCCCTGGAAGCCATTCCCGCCCGTGAGTCTGACTAATTTGAGTCCTTCACGTAAGGAGAACCGTGTGCTAGTTATTCTTCTCTGAGTGGCCTCTTATTTAACGTAAAGTCCTCACGGCCCATCCATGTTAACACATATTGCGGAATCTTTTGACTTTGTGAGCCTGAGTACTATTTCACTGTGAGTATCTAGCGTATTTCTTCTATTACTTGTTGATGGACACTTAGTATTTTCACCTCTGTGGTGAATGTGAGGAGTGCTAATACCCCTGAGATACGGAATAGTTGAAACACTTAGATTGATCTGCACTCTCTCCCAAATGACTCTACGATACCCCGTTTTCAGTGCACATAGATTGGTTTAATTCCGCAGTTCTACATGGTCTCAATAACAGTGCTTACCAACTCTCTTTTCAAGTGTAAGAGCTTTCAGTCCATCTTCTGGGTTGCTATTGACTGTTTGATATACTTATTTGTTGTTTTAAGTAGAGGGTTATTGTCTTTTTAACAAAAAGCATGAGAATGCTGTCAGGTACACAAGCACACAGGGAATGAGTTACTGATTACTCGTGGCTCCTTTGACATGCTAATAGTGAATGTCTTTCCAATGCACTGGGAATGCTCCTTCACTCTTCTTGCCACCTCCATCCCCACCAGGCAGCCCTGCCCCCCTCCAGGTCATTTCTTTCTTCTGGATCCCAATAGCATTGCTCTTACTTCCCTTTGTAGTTACAAATTGAGTCTTTTTTTTTTTTTTTTTTTTTTTTTTTTTTTTTTTTGGCTTTTTCAAGACAGGGTTTCTCTGTAGCTTTGGAGCCTGTCCTAGAACTGGCTCTTGTAGACCAGGTTGGCCTTGAACTCACAGAGATCTGCCTGCCTCTGCCTCCCGAGTGCTGGGATTAAAAGCGTGTGCCACGACCGCCCAGCACAAATTGAGTCTTGAAATATAATTGCTTGTATTATTTCCCCTGATAAAATATGAGTGGACACAAAGTGAAACGTCAGCTTGAGCTCTGACAGAAAATACTGGGTATCTTCTTTAACCTGGGTACTGTGTTTACACCCATGCGCGACTCACACAACTCCTGCCCTTTCCGCCGACCTCTCTCATCTCTCACATCCACTGTGTGTGTCCCCCTCCTACTTTGCCCCCCACTCTTTGATCTTATTTTGTCTTTTCCCTGGGATTTCTGAATACACTATGAACTGAATACAAGTTCAGAAACACACTAAAATGTGGTATAACAGAGGCTTAATACTTAAAGCTGTAGCCTAATATGTGAGAACGAGTGTCCCCTGCGCTTCTGAAGACTGACTGTAGATTGTCACTGAACACCAGGCACGTGCTACCTCTCTGAGCTGCCATATTGTCCTGTCACTGTGAACAAGGGATATCATAGGAAAGTGCAATAACAAGTATTTATTAATCACATGTTTTCTTTGTCCCGTGTGGACTTTGGGGATACCTGTGGTTTTCTGCAGCTTGCTGTCACCAGGGGCAGTGCCCTCCTGCGCTAGTTCTTGCAGACTTCTCTGAGATAAATAACGCAGAGCAGCGACATAGGGAGGTGACAGTGGACTAACTTGAAAAGACGCAAGGGAGGAGTCAGCCTTGAGAGGCTTGGGCAGTGCCTTGGGCAAAGGGATAGCTAGCTGTGAGTGCCTGTGTGTTTGCGTGCACAGTCGGTCCCTGAGGCATGTGTCAGTGGGCATCTGTGAGAAGCCAGGGCATGGCTGGCCCTGCAGAGCCCAGTAAAGGAAGGGAAAAATTTAGGATACAGAGTTAGTTGTATGTGGTTACAAGCTCTACTGTGACCCAGATTGACTGTACCACACAAAGTCAAGGCCGGGATGATGTCCAGCTCGTCACAATGTTGAGTAAGTGAGGGTGAGTAGTGGTGCTTGTACACCACTGATAATTTATATATAACTCATAAACCTCCCACTGAATTTATGCGATGGAGAAGTATTAAAATCTTTCTTAGCTTACTCAGTATGATCTTTTGAAATAATGTGCTATTACTAATTATTTATAAACACTAATGGCCACTGTTTTCTCACGAAGGTTAAAAAGCTGAAGAGAGAACTCTCCCAGATGAAGCAAGAACTTCTCTACAAAGAGCAAGGCTTTGAAACACTGCAGCAGTGAGTATTAAAATACTAAAATCGACGTTACAGCAATTCAAAGCTCCCTAATAAAAAGCAGATACACCAATTCCATGGGAGATTTCTCAGAGACACACAGAAAGTAAAAGGCTTAAAGCGCTGTGCCAAAAGCAATCAAGTTTAAAAAAAAAAAAAAAAAAAAAAAAAAAAAAAAAAAAAAAAAAAAAAAAAAAAAAAAAAAAAAAAAACCTTGAAAAAAATCCATACACTTTGAAAAGGGCTGAACTTAGTCATTGAAGATGAGCCAAACAAACCAAAGTGAAAATGTTAACTTTGTGTCCTGGAGCCTGGCCCACTGCGGCCTTCCCTCAGATTGTGGTCTATGTCAGCCTTGATGGGGCTAGACTGGAGGTCTGGGCTTGAGAGTCTGCGCTCTCCCTAAGATTCTGTCCATATTTCTGTCAGTCCCAGTGACCGTATGGATTCTAGCCTGACACCCCTAAGGGAGTCAGGGCAAGTCAGGCTCCGCAAAGGAACCCACTCTTCGTCATTTGCCACATTCCCTCTGGTTTTTGCCTTCCAGTTCTAAATGAAGGTGGGCCACTGGGGTAGCGCTAGGATGGGCCAGGTTAAATGGAAATGCAGATACAAAAGGTGGCCTGTTCTGGAAGAACCCATGCCATTTCCAGCCTAAAGAAGCCCCTGCTCTCTAATGATTGGGCTTATGCTAACCCAACCATGCCAGGCTTACCCGAGACACTGTCTCCTGCGGCCCCTGGTCCGCAGAAGAAGCCTGTGGTTTCCATAACTGTATGACCACAGGAAGCACCAAAGCTCTCCTTTAACAGCCTTTAGCTGCTTTGTGTGTCCTGTACTCGGGCAGGGCCAGGTGCCATCAGCAGCACGGCAGTGTTCTAGGGCTCCTGTTCCTGGCTGGTGTCATGCTCGGAGAGGTTTCTCAGCTTCCTCAGCAGTGTGTTAGCAATGCCAGGCCCACACGGGAGCCACCTCTCTGGGAAGTACCCAGCTCCGCTCCTGTTGCCTGGTCTGCCTTCTGTTCTTAGAAAATCTGGTGCCATTCAAGGCATTATTCCCATTAAATAAGGCTCGTGACTGTCACTGGCCTACCATGAGCTGATTGTTCTTCGTCCTGAATGGTGACTTGTGCTTCTGACGCCCACCCACCCATTACTCTTGACCAAGTCAGGCACATGACTGTAATCTCAGGCCTTTGTTGCTATGATTCGGCCTTCTTGCCTCACATAATCGGGGTACTGACATCCTTGTAGGTCCACTCACCCTAGTTCTCCCCAAACCTGCTGCTAGAATAACTGAGGAAGTCTGGAGACATCTGCTGCAGGTCTCCAATGCCAGGTGTATTTGGTGGTCGCTCGGTAAGTCTCCAGTTTAGACTTGCAGCAGCCTCAGCTGGCTGCAGACTAGAATGACCTAGGTGCATTATTTAGTAACCATGTGTCAACATAGAGCAGGGCTTTGCGGCAAGAGGAGATCAAACAAAGAGTGCCACAAAATAGTTAGCCGTATGGTAGACATTTTAAGAAATTATAAGTCAGGGTTAAAGGTTAGCCAAACTTGCTGGGTTGTGTTGTGTTGGTGTGACAATACGCTATTGTTTCAGAGCAGTTTGCCTGCAAACCCTTTCCGTGGGCAAGACTGTGGTAGCATTCCATGAGAAAACAATAGGCATCTGTGTGGGAAGGAGCCGAGAACAGAAAGATACAGTATCTAAGGACAGAGACCTCTCCTGTTGCTCTCAGGTATAGACAAAGCAAAGCCTTATCCTCCAGCTGCTGCCCCTGTACCACTAAAACACCGACCAATAGCTGGTAGACCAGAGACCAGACTGTAAAACAAACCTCCGTGCTTAATGCCACGGAAGACTTGTTTATTTGTTGTGTCTGCGACAGTTTTCTGTAGCGTTTTACTTCTTCACCACAGACAGGGATCCTGTCAGTGAATCTTGAATTATAATGTGATTTGTCCTTGATTTCATTTTGCTTGGCACAACAATTTTATGCTGGGTTAATAAATATCTTTCTATGTTTCTCGGTTTATGCCCACAAATTTGACGGCGGCCTAACAGTAGTGTGGCTTGTGTTTGGAGGACCCTGGGAATACCCTGTGCCCCCCCCAGATGGGAAATGATAGCAACACTTAGCAAATCAAAAGCAAGTGTGCCCCCCATGAAAACAAGTGTGCTCCCCATGAGAACCCCGCTCCGCAGCAAGTCTTCAGAGGAGACACGCCAGTGAAAATCTCTTTCCAATATAGAATAAACGTTTTAAAGTTTAAAAAAAATAGGGAAAAATTAAGATTCTTTTCATTCAAACACAGAGAAATAAAAGCATGGAACTTCATTTTAAAGGCAAAAGGTGGCTAAGCCTATGGATCTGTGTAGCAAGAGCCAGCAGAAAGGTTAATAAGACACTAAACTACTTTATATCTTTTTAGTCAGGTCAAAAGAGGGAGGAACGTGGGAAAGAGAACGTGGAGGAAGAGTGAGAGAGGGCGGGAAACACGAAGTGGAAACAAACATTAAAGTCGGGAGGTTTGAGGGAGGGCTCCAAATACAGTAAGGTAGCTGAGAAGTTTCCATCAAAACGAAAAACTCTCAGAAAATTAACCCAGTAGTCTAGCTGGACTCTGGGTTTTAATTCTTCAGTGGCAAAGCGTGTTTCTGAACTAAGGACAGGTTTTACCATTGCATACACTGAGGGTTCCACATGTGGGAAGAAATCAGTCTTGCTCTGCAAAGTCACTTTGACACAGTTTCTGTCATGTAAACTTTTTATGAAATCCCAGTTTGTTTCCTGTTTTTCTTTGCTTGCTTTTAATTTATTAAGTGCCTTGCTTGAAAATGCAAAACAACATCTGGAAACACCTTTGCTTTAGTTAGTGAGCCTTCACCTGTGTTAAGTTGGCGGGCATAATTCTTTGAGGAGCCAAAGAATGCATTGATAAATCTCTTCCGAAATAAGTGAAATTAAGCAATATTCACAATGTTGTTTTCACGAAATATTCTAGCTTAGTGGTCATAAGAGCCCTCAGCCAGGGTCTGAACTTTAGGATAGTCGCCCTGTGCTAGCTGTGCTATGTGATTTAAGAGTTAAATTTCCATAAGCTTTCCAGCCCCGCCCCCCTTCTTCATTGGGAAAAAATGACAATGGGATCACCAAGGCCCACTTCCTACACTAAACTGTGTGTGTGTCTATGTGTGTGTGTGTAATTCTGTGACTCTTGCTGTACTTCATTGTCAAATGACCTTATAATCAAGCTTATTTTGTTAGGCTTTTAAACGCTTAATTGCTTGTTCAGTAGCATAAAATATTCACTAAAATGGTACTCGGGGAGATGCGTTATCTACAGACTGCACTTGTTTGAGTTAACTTTGTTTGGCAGCGTTGAGGCGGTGTCGTGTTTTATTCAGATGCACCTCTCACATTGGAGGTTCAGATTATTAATTATTAAATGGCTTCAGCCAGATGAGCTCCGGGTCCGTTTCTTCTGATTCAATGTCTGCCATTTCTCTGGAGGGCCCATGATAAGCAAGTCCCAAAGCAGGTCTGAGAAACTGTGTAGAGCTGCAGGCTGCTGGGGCAGAGGCATTATCTGTAAGCAAAACCCAAGGTGTATCCAGAAGGAACCCTGGAGGGGCCTTAACTGACGAGAACAGGATGCTGATCATGACCGGAAGATCCAACAACTTCTTAAACAGAAGTAGGAGATTTGGTTGAGCCCTTCCCAAACAGTGAGTCTCCAGGTCCTCTGGCCTACAGTAATCATGATGTACATCTGTGGGGACCCAGGACAGACTGACGCACTGGCGGAGGGGCACAGCTGCCATCCATCTTGTTCCTAAATTCGAACTCATTCAGCAAGGCAAGAAGTTTGATCTCAATTCATAGCTTTAGGAAATACTTTTTAGATGTTTGACAGAAACAAGAAGCCGCACAATCCAGATATCGTCAGAGGCTCACTAGTACAAATAAGACCTGTCAGGCACTTACTAGAGACTCACCATGCCGCCGCTGCTCTGCCAGGTGTTGCTCGGGCCTCATGCCTGGGAACTTCAGTGGCCGCTGCTGCGTCTGCTGCTGCAGTGTGGCTGGTCCCTGCCAGTTTTCTTTCTTGGCTGACAGATAAGGCTGAGTGTGGTAAAGACCGGCTCAGCCAGCATCAGGAGCAGCCAAGAATATGTGTGTGCCTAAAAGTGGGTAGGAGGGCTAAGATACGATGCAGCGGATGGAGAAGTCGAACTGAGTCTGTGCGGTGTCCTGTGAGAGCAAAGGTGCAAGGTTGTCTGCCGAGGAAGGGACTGAAGCCAGCGGTTCCTCTCTGCACTTACCTTTTTATATAAACCTTCTTTTCCTTCACCTCCTCCTCGCCTAACAGAATTGATGAAAAGATGTCCGGAGGCCAGAGCGGGTATGAACTTGGGGAAGCCAAAGCCATCCTGACAGAACTGAAGTCTATCCGAAAAGCCATCAGCTCAGGAGAGAAGGAAAAGCAAGATCTGATGCAGGTATGTCGTGGGCGTCCGTGTCTGTCCGCTCGGGCCCGGGACGCTCTCCCTACTCCTGCTGATTGTGCCCACCCTGGATAGTTACAGGCTCTGAGGAACACATGGAGAATGAGTTGGTTTCCAACTTGTAGCCCTTGTGAAGGCAGGGCTCAGATGTCCTTCTAGATTGAATAGAGTCGGGGGAGATGGAGCCTGGAATCCATAGGGAGAACTTGTATCTTGGCACACCCCTAAACCCGTGGAAGCTTCGTGTGGGATCTAGATTATCAGGGTTCTCCCTACGAGTGACCCTCACCTAGGGCCCACGGGAGTGTGTCACCATCATCAGTAGGTAATGGATATGTCTCTTGGGCTGGGGGATGTTGGCCCAGCCAGGAGAAGCCACCGTTATCTCCAGAGAGCTGCTAGTTGATCCCTTTGTTTCTCACTGTACAGTCACCAGCCTGCAGATCTTAGCTCCTCAGATCCATCCTCACACAGGGAAACACAGAACTGCAGCTGGTTATGAGCAGTCTGAATATCTGTGCCTGTCAGAGCCCTGTCCTTGTCTTGAAGACATCTCCCTTCCGTCCCTTTCCCTCTACCTCATAATTTAAAAAAAGAAGAAATTAGGGGTTCATCACCTTCTAGCCAGGCTTCAGTTAGTGTCTCCGTCCAGTGTTAGAGCCAGCAGTGATACTTGGACCCGAGTCCCATTCCCAGCCGCCTGTAGCTCCAGATCGGATGCCCTTTACTGGCCTCTATGGGCACCTGCACACATGTGGCGCTCACACACAGAGACATACACAAAATACATGTGTAACAAATCAGTACACAGCTAGATTCTAGTACCCACAGGAGAAGGGAGGCCACCTGCTGAATATGCCCTCACACACTTCCAGAATCACACACCTGTGCAGAATACACAGCGGAGTCACGACTTTCACCAGCAGAGCCCTTCCCTTCAGTGGTACTATGGAAGAGGACTGCCCTCCTGCGTGGTAGTCTTAGGAGGTGCTGTGTGCTTCTTGACAGAGTCTTGCTAAGCTGCAGGAGCGCTTCCATGTGGACCAGAACATGGGCAGCTCGGAGCCAGACCTGAGATCTAGTCCTGTGAACTCCCACCTCTCTCTGTCCCGACAGACCCTGGATGCTGGGTCACAGACAAGCATTTCTGGAGATGTAAGTAGCCAGAGGGCACCAGCTGCCCCAATGCTGTCCTCCCTGGAGGGGGGAGGAGGGGGGGGACTCTAACCAGAGCTGGAGAGTGGGCACTCAGTGTCTCGCCCTCCAGATTCAGCCTCATGTTTTGCATCAAAGTGCCAAGTGCGCACAGCCGGAACATTCCCTGGCTGCATCTCTTTACAGATGCTGCTGAGGAGGTAGACATTACCACCCACTTTAATTCCCTCCCAACTCAGTTTACAGACTTGTGAACCGGAGTCACTTCTTATGAACACTAAGGAGAATGGAAACCAAAGAGGTGCTTTCAAAGCTGATGGCTCCACCTCTGCGAGTGTCTGTTGCTCTGCCAGAGCCTCCCTGCATCCACATCAGGCAGCTCATAACCTGTGACTCCAGCTCCAGGGGCTCTGACAGCCAGATGTGCCCCCCCAACACCCCCTCACGCCATAGACTCTCACACACACGTCCATGTGTATGAGTTCTTGTTTTTGAAAAAGAAATTGTTTTTGTAAATTTGAAGTTGAGTATTTGTGAATTATAGCTTATGTTTGAAAATATTTCCTATGATCTGTATATCATTATGTGCCCCTCTTCCCTGGGAAAAGCCGCCCACAAGTGTTTAGGTTTGTTAGGTCCCCGCTTATATTTATGCCTCTCGGATGCCTGTGCTCTGAAAATGAAGCAGACCGTGCTGACAGTAGGTCTCACCTGTTTGGAAATTAATTCCTGAGGTTATTTAATTTACATTGCATGTAGTTATGAGTTAAATAATGGAAATTTTGGCAAAGAAATCAGTTCCATTTCGTAAATTTCATTGACCTACACACCCTTCATAAACTCGCAGACACCAGACACAATTGCCTGGTGTCTTTGTCTTGGATTTAATCTGAGCGGAAAGCAGTGCGAAACTCTTTGCAAAACAGATGAGCCCGGGTGATGACGCCTTTCCCCTGCTGAGTAAATGCGGTTTAACTGGAGCTTCCCCATTTCACAGCCATTTTCTCCAGCTTTTCAATTACCCGGGCTTCCTAGAAACAAACGCCATTTACTTCATTCATTAGCAGAGTTAATTGACTTTCTTCCTTCTGTTTTTACTAGATTGGGGTGCGGAGCCGATCAAATTTAGCTGAGAAGGTCAGGCTGAGTCTCCAGTATGAAGAAGCCAAAAGAAGGTGAGGGCCAGGTGCTGGCTCGCCATGGTCTCCTTTTCAGAATTCATCTTTGCGGCTGTGGTGACCGGTGTGGCCCGTTCCCCTGCTATTGTCCCAAGCCTGCCCTTAACCTGTGAAGGCCGCGTCCTGTCGTCCAGCTCTCTCTCCACCCCCTGCAAAGTTCAAAACTAAAGAGAATTTCAATTTCTTTTTATTTATTTGTTTTCTGAGGCAGCATTTCTCCATGTAACTCTAGCTGTCCTGGAACTCAAACTGTAGACCGGGCTGGCTTCAGACTCGGAGATCCACCCGCCTCTGCCTCCCAAGTACTGGATTAAAGGCGTGCGCTGGATACCCAGCTTGAATAAGGAGAATTTAGTGAGAAGTATGGGGATGAAGGTTTCCCCTTCCCTTTTGGGAACAAAGTCTGGAACTTGTATAATGCATCCAATTGAAAATGAGATGGTTGTTTCCTCGGCCAAAGCCCTGTGCAGTGGCCCAGCCCTGCCCCTTTGCTGGGACTTACCTTTGAGTAGCCCTTTATCCTAAAGGCTCCTACTGCTACCTAGGAGGTGCTGCGTGTCTGCTCCAGCTGACAGGTCAGGGAAGGAGGCGGGAATCTCTCATTACCTCATAAGCTCTTGGGTTCTCATCTTTTTAATCCCTTGACTCTGATGGGGTTCAGCACAAGAAACCACAAGGTCCTAAAGTAGCAGGTAGATACTCTTAGTCTTACCTTATCACACCCCATTCAGGAGTTAATTTCCAAGCAGGTGAGACCTACTGTCAGCACGGTCTGCTCCATTTTCAGAGCACAGGCATCCAAGAGGCATAAATACAAGCGGGGACCTAACAAACCTAAACACTTGTGGGCGGCTTTTCCCAGGGAAGAGGGGGACATAATGATATACAGATCATAGGAAATATTTTCAAACATAAGCTATAATTCACAAATACTCAACTTCAAATTTATAAAAACAGAATGGCGGTGAAGGTCATTCTGCTACCACTGATTTCATTATTTGTCTTTTAAGAGCTCAAACACGCCACTGATTGTCACCCTTCAGGAGACTTAGGAGAAACTGCGTGGTCACCTTACAAGACTCTAAGGAATGTATTTTGTTCCTCCTCAGACCAGGAGGCCCTCCCAGAGTGTTGAGGCTCCTACCATAAAGAGGACCCTTCTGACCCTCAGACATTCGCATGTGTCCGTTGTTACTAGAGACGATAAAATTTTAAAGCAATTGACCACAGGTCTTAGAGGTTATCTGGCTTCAACAGAGTGAAATGAATATTACTGTATTACAGTATTTGCCTCTGTGTTAGCCAGTCTTTCAAATAATTCTTGGGTCTTCAGTTTACTGAACAGAAATCCAAGTTTCGTTCCATAAATGATTGACCACATGACCTTCAACAAGTTCCTTGGTCATTCTGAGTGACATTTAAGTCAGCTAATTTTAATGTCTCTAACTTCCTCTGGTACATTTTAAATGTCTTGAGGCTAGGAAAGCCTTTTTAATTATATTATCTCCTTTCAAGCTACTTGCCCTCAGTAGCTTTGGCGGGTCAGTCTTTGGTGTGGAGGCCCAGGCTGTGACAGCTCTTCCAGGGTGGCGTGGTCAAGGGTCCTCTCGCTGTGAGCAGGCCAGCCCTGTAACAGCTGCAACTCCTTGGTTCTGCCATGGACAGAGCCCAAGATTTATGTCCTGTTTTCTGAAGGCTCGTGGCCATAACTCAGAATTAAAGAGCCCTGGGGCTTGCAGCATGTCTTCCTAAGGACTGCACCTTGCTGCCTTGGTGATCAACTCTAACAGTTAATGACCTCTAGACTTGTGTGACACTTCCCTGCCTAGTTCCCGGAAGTCCCCTCCACATGTCTCCCTGCCACATCCGTGTGCCCATTCCAAAATAAAATCCAGTGTCTGCCTAATCGTGTGCCCTCAAGTAATGAATAGATTCCTTTCTTCCCGTGCCTCGCTGTTACTCCCAGCTCAATCGGCTGCTTTGGGCACATCAAAGCTTAGGCCATTGTTTCCTCGCCATTTGGCTGCTCTGCTGTGTTATCGGAGCTGGTTTTAGGGTTTCTGGTGATGCTGACTCTCAAGGGAATTTGCATGTGTTGAAAATGCGTTTTCCTCCTCAGTTCTTAACAAGGAAAGACGTGAGTTATTCTTCCCTGAACCTGTTTTCTCCTCCAGCTTTTGTTTTATGTGCTCAACGAAGCTAATAATATCATGCTTATTTAGCGATTTGATGATTAATTCCAGTACGGGGAGACAGTTGTTTCTGGCTTTGTGTTTAAAGCTGAAGAATTGCCGATGTCGTGAGTGCAGCAGAGGTGGAAAGAGAAGCACACTGCATATGTACCAATCCAGGATAGCTTTTGCTTTGTAAAAAACCACAGTAAGAAACTTAAGGCACAGGGGTCCAGACCTGCTTCATTCATATCTTTGTTTTGAGCTTTTTCTCATAATAGTTTCTTCCTTCAAAACAGGGGAAGTCATCCCTTTTTTCTGTCTGTTTCTCTTGTGTGGTGTGTGCAGCCAAAGCTGCCGTCCAGTGGCCTATGTAGGGATATGGGTTTCAGTGGTGTTTGTCTGGGTCTTCCCTATGGCCGATGAGCCGTCAGCTTTCAGTCCATGGGAAGTCATGATTGGCTTTGCAGTGCTGCAGGGCAGGTCATTTCATTCTGGAGACTCGGCATTTGTGCTGAATTAGGAGTTATGCAAATCTGGCCATCTCTAACTGGGCTCGAGACATTGGGAAGTCCTGGGTCAGCCAAGACTGTGACGCCAGAGGCTTTACAGCGGTGCTTTTCCCCTTCGCTCTGTGGTTGCCACGCTAGCCGCCTTTGCCTTGCTGGTTAAGGTCCACCATACCTGCCCCTCTGCAGCCCAATAACCAGATAGGAACATAGGTCAGAAGCAGTAACGCCTGAGATGGGCCAATATTACTCAATAATTAATGCTTACCATGCGAAGTTCCCACTGAGGGGAGATTTCCCAGGGTGAGGTTTGAGAAAAGTGGGGTGGGAGGAAATGGGGCCTTGCCCATCATCCTTGGTGATACGAATAATGAGTTGATTTTGCCTTCATATGGGTTGACCGAGGCCCCTCTCCTGTCTCATTTCTTCCTTCTGTGATCTGCTGCTGCCTCAGTTTCTACCCAGCTTTGGAAGTTACCATTTGACGGGGGGACTCCAACCTACAACCTGGCATTTGGGGGGGCAGCCTGACATGTTTGTTTCTTAATGGAAGCTCCTAGGTGGCCCTCCCATTACCCCGCACACATCAGGAGTGCCTGCCTGTGGTACTCTACTTTAGATGCTCCGTTCACGTGACCTGGAGTGTGTGACTGCTGCTTGCTCTCTGGGAAGATGTAGATTACAGTTGCACCAGGACGTAACCTGGGCTGGTTTCCCTTTTCCCGAGAGTCCTAAACACTTGTGTCTTCTATGTCTTTTAGCATGGCTAACTTGAAAATTGAACTGTCAAAGTTGGAGAGCGAGGCCTGGCCCGGGGCCCTGGACGTCGAGAAGGAGAAGCTGATGCTGATCAAGGAAAAAGAAGAGCTTTTGAAAGAGCTGCAGTTCATCACTCCGCAGAAACGCACGCAGGACGAGCTGGACCGCCTGGAAGCAGAGCGCCAGCGACTGGAGGAGGAGCTGATGTCCGCACAGGGCTTGCCGAGCAGGGCTCTGGCCGAAAGGTGTGTGTGTGTGTGTGTGTGTGTGTGTGTGTGTGTGTGTGTGTTTCTGGAAACAGGGTGACTTGAACCTATGGTTGTGTCTTAAGGTGACGTTTCCCCAGGTTTGGAAATCTTAAATATAACCTGCTGTTCGTGGACTCAGAAACAGCACAAAATAATTTCATTTTGGCAGAGCAATAAAGCTCACCCTCCTGTGCCCTGGAGTATCAGTTCCTCTGTGTCTATTAGGAATGGGAAAGTGCTCATGACAGATGTCAAATAACTAAGGAATGTTGACATAAAATCAGGAGCGCAGTCCATCACTGAGCGAGCCTGATAACAATAGCTATAAACTGTTGCTCTCTGAGGAAGATGCTCTAGACTTCATGAAGCAGGGCAGCCTTCCTAGGCTCGTTTTCAATACTGACAAGAAGCCCTATGTTTATTGCTTTTAATTTCAAAAGGAAAGGAAGCGACAGCCTGCTCCCTTTGATACCTTAATCATGTCACAGGATGTTCCTTGCATGTGGCTTGTCAGATGAACACTGCTTCTGAAGCAGAGGCAAGCATTCTGAGCGTTTTCTGATTTGTCTGTGGGACGGTGGGAGTTATTTATTCAAAAGTACCCAGTGCCGCCAGCAGAGCGGCAGGACTGTTGATCAGAGGACGCACGTGTCTCTCGGATGTGAGCACACCGGCCAGAGCCCGGTGCCTGGACAGATCTGTGTTGCTGGCTGCTGTGGCAGCATACCTGTTTGGTGGCAATCTGTGGCCCTTGAGAACCAGTGCGCATCCTAGACCAGCAAGGAGAAGGGTCTGCCCCAGCGACCTGGAAATGAGTGCACGCATCCATCCAGAACCCAGTTCCTTCTCCTTTCTCATTCTTTGCCGCTTGCCTTCTAATCCCTATTTCTCAATGACTGTCCAGAGTTTTAAACGTGAAAATATTTTAAACTATGGGAACGGTGGGGCAGGGAGGGAGAAATCTGCGGTTCCTGATTAGGTCTTAGCATGGGCATGTCCTGAGTTTAGCCGTTTGGGGAAGTCCTGCTGATGCTCCACATGGCTGCAGCGCCCTCGTTTTAGGGAACGTGAGCAGGTATCCCGAGGCAAACCCTCTACAGACTGCAGGCATTCGACCGAGTTCTCGCTCTTGCCTTGTTTCCCCTTCTCATCCACCTTCCTCTGCTGTCTCTGCCTCATGCTGAAAGAAGCGTTAGTTCTGGGTGTGAGGAAGGACCCAGGCAGCAAGCACCCACAGGCACAAGAGCAAGGAGACGGGAAGGGTGAGTTACTCTGGTCTGCGTTTGTATATTTTAACTTTCCAGCAAAGACTCACTAGTGGATATAAAGAACGGGTAGCCTTTGTGTACAACATCAGTGCATTTTACATTTACAGCACTTTCTAAAGCCCGTAGATTGTTCCCTTCATGTCCTGGGGGTTGGTTCCAGAACCTCTCCCTGATACCCAAGCCATAATTCCCCTTTACAAATGTGTAGTGTTAACAGAAAACATACACATGTCCTCTCAGAAGCTTTGAACACTTTCTAGATTATGTAGAATTCCTAACACAAAATAAATGTTATGGAAATAGTGGTCATGCTGTATAACTTAGGGAACAATGGCAAGGAAAGGGCCCACACGTGGTCAGTACAAACTCAGGGTTTTCCTGGTTGCTTGAATCCTTGATTATGTGACCAGGGTTGTGGAGACTCCCAGTCTCCCTGCTCCTCTACCGTGTTCAGGGGACGTCTCTCTTCCCCTTTGCAGCAGGTGAGGGAGTCTGGAAAGGCGCTGGTCCTCCTTTAGCTTTGTTCCGGGGAGACGGGGAACGTGTTCATCTTATCCACATTTACAAGCAAGCCGGCATTCTGCTTGTCTTTTTTAATCAGGGATGGTCTGTTCCGGAGTGACTGTTACACTTTGCACACATATAAAGACTGTCAAACTTCTAGTGGCAGGTTGGGACCCAGCAGAAGCAGGAGCTACATATTATGTACATACAATAATGATAATATTTAGTGAGAAGCAGCACAGGGTTGGGCCATGTGGGGAATAGAAGTGTGCTTAGCTGACTTCACCTGCGCAGCCTGTCTGCCACTGACCCGATAGAAGCGAGGAGGCATGCCTGTCTTTTGTTTGTATATTACTGGTTTTCTGAGCCCTCTGAAAGTCCAGCCACTTGGCATAACAAGTACATGCAAGTTTCCTTATAGTGCCTGTGGTCGAGGGCAGGTCCCATCGCTTTGCTGCAGTGCAAGGGAGGGAGCACTCAGATGTCCCATGGATCAGCTGAGCTCCCCCATCATTGCTCACGGTTCCCTTCCACATGTCCCAAGAGCAGAGCCTTCCGCTGCAGTGTGCGCCGGGTCCTCTGCTCCCCAAGCAGACACAGCACAGCAGGGCCTGGCTGTTCTTACTCACACTTTTGTTTTCTGGACCTTCACGCTTATCACCTATTCTTTACCTTGCTTCCTACCATATAGTCTTATTTTCTCTAGTTGCTTCGATCCAGCTGTCCTTGAACCTGTGTAAGTAAGAGCCTAGCCCTGTAAACCATGCCTCCTCCTTCTCTGTGGTAGAGCAGGTGGTGGCCAGCAACACCCTAGGAAGGAGAATTCACCGGGTGACATCGAGCACATTGTCAACATCAGACCCTCAGTTTCTTGGTGCTGACACACCAAAGCAAGCTTCCTGCTGTCTTGCTTTAAGCTTTCCTGTTTCCCATCCTATTGTGGGTTTCACATTCTTTCAGGGATGAACTCATACTGTGGTCTCCAAAGACACTAAACTCACATGAACTCACAGGCATCCTTTGTATCCTGACCCCTATTTCTGCTGCCGCTGTATAGCACAGCAGTGGCAGACAGCTCCCTCTAGCGGTGATAAAGCTTATCTGCACAAGCCAGAACTGGACCAAAGAGAAATTGCTCTCCAGTCCTGTACCCCTTTATAAACACTGGCGCTCTGTAAACTGTGGTTTCCTGTAGCTGACAGATCTTTGCTGCTTCACACAAATTCCAAGGGCTCACCCCGAAATCATTAGTGCACCTGGATTACTTAAAGTTTTTTTGCTAAGGCATCTGAAGATTATTTGAAACAAATGGGCCGGGCACGTGAGACTTTTCTTTTTTAATGGAAAGGAGACTGCTTTACTGTATCGATGACATGAGCACTTCCCAGGTGGAACGTTGTGAGCTCGGGAGAGGCAATGCCTCCCTCCCTTCGAGTGCTGAAGTAGACACAGAAAGAGATGGCGGCCTGATACATTGCCAAGGGCAACCTGAAGGGCAATGAAGAGTAACAGGACGGATGCAGGGCGGAGGGGTACCCTTTATGAGCCCCTTTCTCCCTGAGGAAACCAGACGGGCAGGACTGGGAAGGAGCATAGCGAGCCAAGCTCAGGAAGAGGACCATATTTATAATTCCCTGGGTGTGCAAGACCTTGTCACCTAGTCTGAGGAAGACTTCCAGCTGCCCTCAACTGACAGCTTGATGAGTCCATTAAGAGCAGTAGCTGCTGCCCTGCTCCAAGATCTCTGTGGCTTTTCACAGCGCCCTTACCGCCCTTCCGCCCTTCTAGTGGCACCAGCCAGAACTTTGTATAGAGGAGAGAGGAAGAGCCAGTGCCTGCCTTCTGGGACCTTAGCGTCATCTGGAGGAGGGAACATGTGAGCAAGAACACTCAAGTGGAGGCTTTGGAGACGGCTCAGGCAGTAAAGTGTCTGCTTTGTATGCACAAGGGCCTGACTTTGCGTCCATAGACCTGCATTTAAAAACTAAAAAAGCCAAACGTGTGTGTTCCTAGTGCAAGGGATCCCAGGGACTAGCTGAACAGGCAGTCTAGCCAGTCCATAAGGGCCAGGTTCAGTGAACCCAACAGCTCAAAAGATAAGATGGGGCTGGAGAGATCGCTCAGCAGTTAAGACCACTTGCTGTTCTTGTAGGACATTGTTTCAGTTCCCAGCACCCACATGGTGGCTCACAACTGGCTGTAACTCCAGTCCCGAGGGATCTGACACCCTCTTCTGACCTCCACGGGCAATGCATGCATGTGGTGCACGGACAGACACACACACACACACACACAAACACGAGAATACACATGAGCACAAAAGCCAAGCACCAGTAGTTGAGAGCCAGCCTGCAGGAGCTGGCCCAGCAGCCCCTGAATGTCATTATGACCTTGAGAACAAAAGACACTATCCTCCGCAAGGTGTCCCTTAGGGCGTGAGGAAATGCCTTTGTATTAATAAAACTGATATTTGTTTTTAAAATGTTACTTATTTCTGAAGTGTGTCTCCTGTTGCCAGAGACACATGTTTGGGCAGTGTTCGGGCTGTCTCCAGACCTTTGTGCCTTCCAACTCAGTTTATCTTTGTTAATATTTCTTCCTGATTGAGTTGATTTGTTTAGGAGATTTTAAAAGATAGGCTGCACTTCTTAAAAATGAAGTTATAAAAGTTATGAAAGAATTAGCCATGCCGGTATTCCAGAAAATGGCAAGAATCACTTTTTAATTGTAGCATATAATGGAAATTGTGTTGTTGATACATCAAAGGGATAGGTGCCTATAAATAAAACGTGCCCATCTCCTCACTGTCCAAGACGTGCGTAAAATTTCAAAGGGTTGGAAACTGGGGAGATTTTCTTTTCCTCCGAAGCCATGTGTCTTACTGTGTGTATGGCCACCTCGCAGGGCTGTGAACAAATGGGGCTGTTCTGTGGCCTGTTGAGCCCTTTCCCAGGCCTTACTCCCTTTGATCCCTTTAACCGCCTTATCAGGTAGACACAGAAGCATCGTAAGCATCGTTCACAGCCAAGAAAGGTGAGCCTTGCTAGCCGGTGGCTTTGCCAAAGGATCCTGGGCTCCCAAACAGCAAATCCCAGGCTGGGCACCGAGCTCTGCCTTCCCCAGATGACGTGTCAGGGCCCCGGTTGATGGGATTTGTGCAGGCACTAAGCTTTCCCTTGGATGTGTGACCTATTTTGAACTGAATTTGTTTCGAGATAAAATTCTCCAGTATTCAACTGTATGATAACCTGCTCCAGGTGAGGCAGGACGGAGCTAGGGAGGCGGCTCTCTTGGACTTCTTGGTGAGATTGTAATTCTGCAGGTTAGCCACAGCAGCCTCTTGGATCCATCTCTCTCACTGCTAAACCTCCCGGGAAATTAGCAGTGGAGTTTTTGTAGTTAAGCGCGATTTTACAGCAATGCCTGCTATATTCAGTACTTTAGCGGCCTTTAAACTACGCTACCTAATGGTATCCAAATGTTTAGGTTTTTGCTGAGGTCAACGTTGTCATTGTTTTCCCCATGTCTGGGGCCAAATCATTTACCAACTTGAGAAAAGTTTACACTGCCAGCACTTGAAGTTCTCCTGGCCTTGGACTGGACATACCTCTCCAGCTCCATTTACGGTGGCTGTGAAGCTCCGCCCCTTGCTGTGGGTGTCCTCTGTCAAGTTCATCCAGACGCCCTCTTACACGTGATTCTGGGATACTGAGTTTTTCTGTTGCTTAGTTTGGGTTTCTAAGTTATCATTTGAAAATTAATTTCTTTGTTTTTTTTCTAGATTGAAATTAGAAGAGAAAAGAAAAGAGCTGCTGGGGAAGCTTGAGGAGACTTCTAAATTAACCACTTCCCTGTACTCGCAGCTCAAAAGGTGAGCAGGGCCGGCCCTCCAACGGAGGTCTTTCCCAGCACCCAGGCAGGCCCTGGTTCCTCAATGGTTGCTTTTTGCTGCTTAAAAGTAAACAAATAAGTTATGCCCGCTCCACTAATGTTTAAATCACCAAGTTTAGAAACAGGTTCCTCCCCCACACCATAAACTCCTTATTTAAGTTTGGAGTGCTTTCGGAAATCTCCTGCCGAAGGGGGGGAGGGGCTCGCCTTATCTGTCAGTGAATATTGGAAAATAATGTGTTTCTGCCCTTACCTCACCTTCATTCACCAAGGGAGACAGGAGAACTCTACTGTGAAATAGCTGCCCGTGACTTCCTTACACGGATTAGAATATTCACTCTTGCATGAGGGGGCTCATGGGTCCGCCGCCACCCTGTCTTCCTAGCCACGGCTGCGACGCTGACACTTGCTGTCAGCCTTTTCCAGTCTTGTTGAAGTGTGAGGTTGCAAGGATGGCTCTGCAAGTTAACATACAAGCATGCGTTTGATTTGATTTAAAATTTTAAGGTGTTTCGCTGTGGTTGGGTTCAATGATCTCACCATGTCGCCCTAGCTGTCCTGGAACTCACTCGTAGACCGGACTGGACTTGAACTCACAGAGATCCACTTTACCCACCTTTATCACTGTCAAATTTATATATANGTCAGAAAGCATGGATTCTGACCCAAAAGATGTCTCTTTGTCTAGCAGTGTCTGAGTCTGCGTTCACAATAGGCCATCTGTTAGGCAGTGAATCTTGGAGTCCCACTGTCCACATCTGTGAAATGGAGGTATACATATACATATTAAATGAGAAAGTAAATAACCATATATATAATGACATACAAGCATGTGTTTGATTTGATTATATATACATATATATATAATCGTTGTTTGTTTATTTATTTATTTATTTATTTATTTTGGAGACAGGGTCTGTCTGTGTAGCCCTGGCTGTCCAGGAGCTATCTATGTAGACTAGGCTGGCCTTGAACTCACAGAGACCCTTCTGTCTCTGCCTCTAAAGTACTGGAATTGAAGATATGCACCACCACCACTTCTGGCCAGATGCTGTGTATTGTTTAAAAAGACCAGAATTACTGGGGTGTATGAGGACAGCAAGGTTGCTAATATTCATGAGTGAGTAGGGAAGTCATGGTTCAAACAGCAAGCTCCTCTGCCCAGGTTGTAAACCTAACTCCCGGGCATCGCCGTTGCCATTCTCTTCCTGTCTGAAGGAGTCCGTGTGCACTGTGCTGTGCTTTCTTCCCCAGCCTCTCCTCCAGCACACTGTCCATGTCGTCTGGCAGCAGTCTGGGGTCCCTGACGTCCAGCCGCGGCTCTCTGAACACCTCCAGCCGGGGATCTCTCAACTCCCTCAGTTCCAGTGAGCTCTACTACAGCAGCCAGGGCGATCAGATGGACGCAGACTACCAGTATAAACTGGACTTCCTTCTTCAAGAGAAGGGTGGCTACATTCCTTCTGGGCCCATCACTACCATCCACGAGAACGAGGTGGTCAAGTCTCCCAGCCAGCCTGGCCAGAGCGGACTGTGTACTGTGGCAGCTGCAGCCCCCAGCCACACACCCCCACTGACAGAGGCCTCCAAGTCAGTGACGTCCCTCTCCTCCAGGTCCTCCCTGTCATCCTTGTCCCCTCCCGGCTCCCCTCTGGTCTCGGACAGCACATTTCCAGTGTCCCCTCATGACCCCTCCGTGCACCAGTTCTCCGTTGACTTTGAGGACTGCGGCTTGAGCAGCCACTTTGCCGACATTGGCCTTGGTGAAAATCAGGTCTTGCTGGATTCAGACTCAGGAGCATCCCAGTCTCTCTTAGAGGATAAAGACCTTGACGAATGTGCGGGGGAGCTGCTGTATGAAGGAGTAACAGGTAAGGGTTGAGCTTTGCTTTCCCACATCCCCCTGCGCCATTTCAGGAAGGACTGGATCACTCATTCATATAAGGAAAGGGCATGACTCTCTTCTCATTCTCCAGGGTGTTCATTTAGAGCATTCATTCCATACCTAGACTTTCCTTCTCTGTCAAAAAAAATTACCATTCTAGAGGGGGGACATATTTATAGCTCAGTGATAGACAGCTTGCCTAGCGTGTGCAAGACTCTGGGTTCAATACCCCAGTACCACAAAATAAAAACAGGTACTGAAGAGATGGTGGAGTCTGTCAGGTGCTTGCTGCGCTAGTATGGAGGTCGGAAAAGCCACTATGACCACTCACACCTGTAATCCCAGGGCTGGGGAGGCAGAGAGGGGCGGAGTCCCGGGCTTCCTGTCAGACGGAACCTGCTCTGCTGAGCTCCAGACTCAGTGAGAGACTCTGTCCCAAAAAGTAAGGCGAAGAGTTTCTGAGGAAGACACCAGTGTCAGCCGCTGACCGAGACATACATGCACACCTTTATACACACCTGCATATACAAACATATACATGCACATACGCAAAGCATATTGCCCTCCTGTTGAATAGACTCGACCGTGGGGGCCTGTTCTGTAGTCCGGGGCCTCTGTGGGTGGTGGATGCCTAGGATGTGTTTTATGAGCGGTCCACACTTCCGCCTGGACTCTGGTTCAGAAATAGCAAAGAAATAAGGACTTTCTTTTTAAAATTGTCCAAAGCAGATGAAAACAAAGTCAATTAGCATGCCGGCTAATTAGCACAAAGATTTAGTGTTTAGCTTGCTGGGGGGGGGGGGGTCTATCTAAACAGTTTTTGGTTTGTGCCAAACCCCTTCTGCCCCAGTTACTTGGTGGCTATAGTCCAGTGTCCGGAGCCGCTCTGCCATCTGCTGGCTGCTCTCGCAGCTGCAGGTCCAGGAAGATGGGCCCAGTGGCCCTTGGGATGAGTACATGTTCATTAATGTTGCTCTCCTGCGCACTGGGGAAGCTTCCAGTGTGTGCCATGGGTTTATTGCTGTGTGGTGCTGTCCTGGGTTCTGAGGACAGCCCATTCTATAGCCAGCGTGAAGCTAGGTACAAAGCAAACTCTCGGCTCATGCCAGGAAGTCCTGTTCAGTCAGCATGTGTCAGCGTGTCCCACCATGCAGAAAGGGCAGCCCATGCAGAACCCTGGCCTTGCTGTTTTAAGAAGTGGTTTCTACCGGTGTGCACGTGTAGGAATTCTAAGTATTAATCAATTGGCCAATTGAGATGCAAGTTGATTTAGGGGTTTCTGATACCAAATGAAGTTCTGTGTTCTCGTTAGTAGCTGGGGCAGAACTGGAGTGGATGAGACCTTCCTACCGTTCGTATGCCCTCTTTCAGGGATGTACCAATGAGTTATAGGTCATTCTATTAAAATACTGCCTCCCACACACAAATGCACATGGGAGATGTGTCCATAATGGCTTCCCGCAACCAAGAGCCGCTGTGGGACCTCACAGGGGCCTGTGGGAAGCAGTACAGTGGAGCAGCTGTGCCTGCATCCTCTCCACCTGCCCCTTTGGTTGTTTTAGGTGAGCATTTATCCTCTCCGTTGTTCAGACCCATTCCTCGTCTGCACGGTTACCATCATAGAATGCAAGACCATGCATGGCGTCCAAGCCTGCCTGGCGCACACGCGCAGTTTGTGGTAACTGTTGCCCTGTGTGGTGAGAGGTCATGAACACTGGTGTGCCCCTCTCTCCACACCACGCTGCGGGTTGGGGGTGGGAGAAGCCCGCGTACGTTGTGGTTGCACCGTTCTTATGTGCTTTTGAGCCTTTCAGGGCGTGACACTTCTTGAGCATCTATAACTGACTGCCCTTTATGTATTGGAATACTCCCTAGCGAGGATTTCTCAACATCCCATCAAATGGTGAACCCAGTACATAAAGGCAGATGCTCAAAAAGCAGGAGGGTCCCAAATCCTTCGGTGCAAGGGCCATCACAATGATCCTGAGCCGCAACCCTCCCCCCCCCC